GCTTATCCCTCCTGGGCCAGCAGCAACTCAGTCATTGTCCAAGTGATATCCCTGCTCATTCTGGCCACACAACTATCTTGAATATTGAAGAGCTGGAAGAGTAAAAGAGGGGAGCAAAGCCTGGAGTCTCTACTGCTTTCAAAGGATGGCTGTCTTGGGCTAACAAATCCCCATGTAACTAAACTTTAGCCAGCTACACAAAAGAACTTGTGAAACAAGACACCCTGAGATCACTGACTGGCTTGCCTCTGCCAGCTAAAAAAGTGCAGCTGCTGTTAACAGAGCGTAACAGCAACTGGTGTATAGGGTTTTGCCACTCGCAGGGAGAAGAATGCTGTCTTCAGCAGCAGCACAGCTCCCTCTCACGCACCCAGGAGTACAGATGCAGCGACTGCTGAGTAGCTGGTGCTACCTGCTTCACTGTGGACTTGCACATGGGAGGGTCGCCGGCTTCCTAACAAAGGTCTAAAAACTGAAGGAAAAAGCCTACCAGACAACACATCTATTTCTTCTGGTAGGGCTGGTAAACAGAGATAGATGTTCCCTTTAAAGTGAATGAGATCAAAATCCATCACACTATGGAAACCACACAAACAACACCCTGCATGGATGAAAGGAAAGAAGTATTTGGAATTAAGCTGATGTATTGCTGTACCCCAGAATCCCAAATACATCTTTTTCCCCTGAAGCAGGATATTTCATTTCACTGACAGGAAGAACCCAAAGCAGCAACCCTCAGCGGGAATTAAATCAGACTGTTAAACAAGCTAGACCTGCACCAGCATGATGAAATGTTTTGATGAGGAGTGGAAGCTGTTAGAGCAGCGGAACATCAATGGTTATTCACTGCACATGGGGCTAAGCAGGGCTGCTATTGCTTAGAATAGCAACAACTTGATTACGCTCAGATATTGTCCCCACATCAAGATTTGTGAATTCACAGCTCCCATGTTCAGTGCCTGATTTATTTATTTTTTTATTCTTTTTATTCTGCTTCTGCTGTTTTTTCAGATGAACCTCCTGTGAGAAGACAGTTTGAGTGTGTGACTGCCACAATACCTGCAATGAGGCACAGGTATCATTCCAGATGCAGAGCTTTCTCACTTTTTCCTATGCCTGGTTACCACAAGAAGGAAGGAAGAAGATAATCTACTTTGAATCCCAGTTCATCTTCTTCTTATTTACAAGGACATGGGCCTGTTGGAGTGAGTCCAGAGGAGGCCACGAAGATGATCAGGGAGCTAGAGCATCTCCTGTACAAGGACAGGCTGAGAGAGTTGAGGGTTCAGCTGGAGAAGAGAAGGCTCTGGGGAGACCTTAGAGCGGCCTCCCAGGGCTGAAAGGGGCTGAAGGAAAGGGGGAGGGACACTTTATCAGTGAGCACAGTTATAGGGTGAGGGGTAAGTTTTAAACTGGAAGAGAGCAAATTTAGATTAAATGTAAGGAAGAAATTCTTCCCTGTGAGGGTGGTGGGACACTGGCACAGATTGCCCAGAGCAGCTGTGGCTGCCCCCTCCCTGGAAGGGTTCAAGGCCAGGCTGGACGGGGCTTTGGGCAACCTGGGCTAGCGGAAGGTGTCCCTGCCCGGGCCAATGGGGCTATAACTGAAAGATCTTTTAAGGTGCCTTCCATGTCTCTATGAAAAATCCATCAGTCACCTAGGACACACAGTGGTACAGGTTCCTCTTGAAGCACCAGCACAAGAACTGAGCTACAGACCTTAGTTTTAGGCTTCCAGAAGGGCCTGGTAAGGTTGCTTCATGTTAGACTTGATGGCAAAGCCCACGTGCATTGTGGCACTGAGAGTCCCACCGTGTCCCCCTCTCCCTCGGCTGCCACATGGTCTGTGGGGTGGCTCCTGCAGCCTTGGCTGGACAAGTGCTCCCACCAAGATGATGGCACCCCCAGCCCACGCCCGGACCTCACTGCCCTGCCGCTGCCAACACGGCACGTACGGCCCTGATCGGGGGTGACAACCCGCTGTGGCCGCGCTGTGGCGGCTGCGGAGGGGCTGAGGGC